TCTTAAAAATGTGTGTAATCTTAAATGCATAAATATCTGCATAGCAATTGTTTTGTGGACCTAGAAATGTACTGCAAATACTTTTAAGTGCACACTTGAGTATTGACTTTAAATATTACTAATTATTAAATCACTAAATATTTAATGAACATCTACTGTGTTATAAGAAGAAAGACTTATTGGAGTTTTTATCCAGAGCACTATATATTCTGTCCCATTCCCCTTTTGATCACAGGTAATATGGTCACTTATATTTTAGTTACGATACAAAAGTAGCCCTCTCCTAGTCACTAACAGTACCATTTTTTATCTGCTATTAATCTAAGTATGTTTTGTTTATTTCCTTATTGTCTCCTCTGTTTTGAAAATGTAAGTAAGCTTAGCTGGGGAGATAGCTTAGTGGCATAGCGCCTGCCTGGCAAGCGCAAGATCCTGAGTTCAATTCCTGGTACCAAAAAAAAAAAAAAAAAGAATGTAAGTAAGCTCTACGAGGGGAGAAACCTTGTTTGTCTTGTTGATTGATTGATTGTCTCATTTATTATTATTATTATTATTATTACTATCATCATTATTTTTGGGAATTGAACTCAGGACCTCACAGTTGCCAGGTAGGGGCTATGCCGCTGAGTTATACCCCACCGGCCGCATCTCATTTATTGTTGAATTGCTTAGTCCCAAAGCATATGATAGGTTGTGAATAAAATATTTAAATTAATGAATTCAAATTGACTAAATGTGCATGATTGAAAATGTAATTGTGATTATTAATTTCAGCCTTCCTATTAAGTCTTAAACCAATACTGTTACTCTTTTTGGTGCTGTTATGTAGATAAGATACTCTGGAGTTGATAGCAAAAGAATTTGATAAATGACCATAGACAGTAGGAGAAATAGCAAGGGATCTAAATAATATATATACTGATTAACCTCTGACTCATTGAACTGTTAAATTATGCCATCACTCTTACCACTTACCTGTCTTCTTTCATACCAAAGAAGTAAAAGGTTTTTTTTTTTTCTTTTTTGGTTAAGAGCTATTGTCTTTTTATTTATTTATTTATTTTTATTTTTTGTTTGTTTTTCTGGTACCGAGAATTGAACTCACGACCTTGTGCTTGCCAGGCAGGCGCTGTGCTGCTGAGCTAAATCCCCAGCCCTGTCTTTTTATTTTTATTCCATTTTATTTTTATTCCATTTTGCCTGGCACTTAATCGTTCCTTAGTAATGTCTTTTGAATGAATGAGTGAGTGAATGAATGAATGATAGGAAGTCTAATGACATTCTACTTAGTGTTTTTTTTTTTTTGGTACTGGGAATCGAACTCAGGACCTTGCGCTTGCTAGGCAGGTGCTTGTGCCACTGAGCTATATCCCCAGCCCTGTAATGTCATTCTAGATTTCAATGAATCTTTGATATTTATGATGCCTTTCTCATTTTTTGTTCCTAGCAACATTTACTGTACTTTTTGTCATTAGGAACCTAATGACAGGCCTCTCACTGTGTTTATACATAACTTTCATTCCTTACTTAGAGTTGTGCCATCTTATTAACATCAGTAGATTACTAGAGAAATGATCACATCATAATCAGGTTAAGAGAATTGATTCAGTGACAGACTCCATCTTTACTTTATTAAAAAAATCAGTGTTACAGAGAGGAGGGGGAGAATCTGTTTTCTTACTTGCACATTGACCATTTTAGGATCTACCTTTGGCTCTGACACAACTATTTAACATAGACCCTTTGAAATTGCCTCAGTTGTTAAGAATCATTCTCTAAACTTTGCATTTTCTTAGCTTCTCTCCCGCCATAACTTTTTCTTTTGTGTAAATCCTAATTTTTGTCATTTATGCGTTTTGATTCCTTTTAGTGCATGAACCTTTTCCTCATCTGATCCTGACCTTTATGACAGAGCCTTTTAATTAATGCATCTTTGTTTTCCTGTTGTAAGATCCTTACTTACCTTGGCAATACCTCTTAATGTGTGTATCCCTCTCCTGTCATTCACTGTTTAGTTTTATAAAATGCTTGTGTTTCATCCTGAAAAATAGATCGAGGAGACGACACACTGTGAGCCCAGACACATGATCTACTTGTCAAGCGGTAGAGTTACAAATGACCTGTGAGTTAAATTCTAGTGAGTGATGGTGTCATTATTCAAGATTTCCCTTTTTTTCTATTCTGTTTATACTACAGAAATGTGTTCTTTTTGTTTTAGAGAGTGCATCAGTTTGACCTCTCTGATAATTAACAATCTGAGTGTCAGATAGAATAACTATATGCAGCATTTGCTGTAGCATACTGAGAATGAAGGAAGATTTTAAAAAAGATATTAGCTGGATGTTTTTAAAATGGGGAGACAGATCATTCTTATAATTGTTAAATACTTAAATTTTCTGCAAAGCAAAAATGATGGAAATGACAAAGGGCAATAGATTGAGGGAATGATTTAAGAATAGCTGTGGACATTTAAGAAAGAAAGCCTTCTTCCTCCCATTGTGACCTCCTTTTGGTGAAAATGGTAAAACAAAGCCTAGCAAGTTGGGAAGGAAGCAGGAAATCCTAGTTAGTGATTGTCAGTTGAACATTTAAGAGAAATGAAAATGCTTACTTATTTTAGATTTTAATGCTTTTTCTCTCAAAGTTTTTTTCTTTTTTTAAAAAAAAAGAAAGAAAGAAATGCTTTTTCATCCCTGAATCCTAGTAAGTATACCATTAAATAAAATTTGGAAGCCATATATTATCATGTGATTGTATAAAGTCAAGATTGTGGTTTGAGGGCAACCATTGTAGAATTTATTTATTACTCCCAAAACCCGTGTTGTCGCTTTTCTCTTCCAAGACCCTTTCTTTTCCTTAAATAAGTAGAAAAATGAAAATAGCCCCAAATAACAAAACCTAGGTAAAAATATGTAATTCTGCCTGGTACTTGCGCTATATCTACTACTTAGCCCTTGTTGTTTACTTCCTGATTAAAAATACATTAGAGGACCTTTTTGTAATGAAATTCTCATTTTGTGATTGTATTAGGAAAACAAGTTCTGGGACTAAGAACCAGAATTATGTCTAGCACTACAGTTAGGAATTTTTCCAGAGATAAACTACTTCCCAAAAATGATCTGAGTTTTCAGCCTTAATGGCCTTGGTCTTTATTTTTATTTGCTTTCATTTATTTGTATTTTTTATACTATGTTATGATTCTAGAAAGCACTAAAAAATCACCATGTATTTAAAACAAACAAACAAACCAGAAAAGCCCCTTGCCCTGGGGCTATGTGAAGAAAAATGAAGCTCTCATTTCCCAGTACCCAATCATCAGCTTGAGCTGGCCTCTCCTAGGAACAGAATTTATTGAAGCAATTTATCCTGGCTAAATGTGATATAAATCTGAGTACACGTATGTACATACAGGGTCTCTTCCATTACAGCAGTGCCGCAGCATCAGTTTCCTTCATAGTTAGACCATGTTCCTATCACATTGAAAGATGACCGAGAAGTCCCTTCTATTTTATGGGACACCCCACAATTTTAAACACCGATTAGTTGTGGAATTACTGATTAGACAACCAGAAATACTGGTTTCTAACCCCAGAGTGACTCCTCAGAGAGTAGGAGAGATGTTCCCTACCTATCTTCTTCATTTTAAACATGATTTTCCAATCACTAGATTCATTCTAGAGTGCTAATATTTTATTTTAATGCAGGCCTGACTGTGATTGACCAGATATTCTCGTTTCTCTCCCAGATGAATTTGAAATTTGGTTAGAGTTTTGAATGAAATAATTCCTTTCTTATCTCCCCTTGTTCACATTCTTTTGTATACCTTTCTCTCATGGATGGATTTTTAAAAATATTCTCAAGGAGTTCATTTTATTAAAGATTGTTTTTATCCTTCCACCTATTTTCTTTTCTATCCTTCTAAAATACTGTTTATCTTTTCAGAATATTTCTACTGTGATTTGCATTTCTAATCCTTATTTCTCTCCATCTCTATTTTTATTCCTAGTTAGAAAATGAGAAATTTTCCAACATATTCAAATTAGAATTGCTGTTCTTTGACAAAGAATTTCCATCAACATTTCAGAAGTTTAGCTTGAATAATTTTAAAAAATTATAAATTCTGTTAAATTCTTCAGAGAAATAGAAGGGATGGATGGTGATGCCTTTTAGTGCCATTTCTTTTATCCCCTGCAGCAGCACACATCTGTTGGCTGCAGCAGAGCAGCCTAAGAACTCTGGCCGAGAGCAGCACAAACAGCCGGAACATATTCACCCAGTAAACCCCCAAAGAGTCGACATTTGTTTTATTGCTGCTTTTAAAAACCTAGCCATAAATAGAATCTGAGGGGGGAAGGGCACCGATATTTCTCCATTTGCCACAGAGACGATTGGTGGTGGGGGGAGGAGGCTCCCAGTGGGGAGAGAAGGTTTTTATTTTTATTTTTTTATTAATGAAAATCATTTCCCATGTAGCCCAATAGGATGGGTGCTTTGTTTTCTTTGGCAATAATCTGGGATAAACGACCCTTGCCAACAGTCTCGTAGTTTATACACTAGGGAGCCAGATTATGGCCCTGTAAAATGGAGCACCCCTCCTATAATCCCTTAATTAATTAAATGACAAATTTTGGTCTTCTCTAGTTCAGAAATATGGCTTCCGCATCGAGCGTTCAGTGGATTTATTGACATAGGGAACTGCACTGGTTGTAATTCAGCAGACTAGAGAAGTGTGTTATATACTATAATAGAAAGAGGAAAAATCTAGCCATGATTTGAAATTCCTTGACTATTTAAGTCTAATTTTTTCTAATTAAAAGTTTCAATTGAAGAACAATAGGTCATACGACACCTGTCTAACGAGTCTCCCCAAAGTAGCCTGTGTTTATAGCTTTGATAGATGGCATTCTTGGAACACCTGTTTCTAGGCTTGATATTTTTGAAGCACATTTTTTTGCTCCAGCGTATTTAACATAACTTTTCCCTTACCTCCCCCTCCTCAGCTCCGCTCTGCTATATGAAATATGGGAGACGACAGACCGTTTGTGTGCAATGCCCCGGGCTGTGGACAGGTATGTTTACAATATACTTTATTGTGAATGTCTCGTTGTGAATCAAAGTGGCTGTTTTATCACTAAGGCAAAGAGTTTAAAGCCGGTATTTTACGTGATCACTGGAGGTAATCAGATCAGAGGATTTGCAGTGTGTAAATCCAAGTTATGAGGAAGTGTAGGCACTCTACCATAATGAAATCTGCCTTGCTCTCTTCCATATTGTTATTCGACTGGTGTTTGTTTTCTAGCACAGTGTTGAAGAATACATGTTGCTCTCTCCCCTTCCTGCAACTATTCATCTAACTACAAAGCAAGTTTAGAAATAGCCTCTCCTCAACTTTCATAGATATAAAAGTCTGCTTAACATATTTGGAGAGGCAGCTGATAATGTACCCATTCGTTGTGGACCCTTGGCTTTATAGTCTATTTGGATTTGTTAAATTAAAAATAGTATTTCTTTTGACTGTTGGTTCAGAGAATTATTGTTAACAGCTAAGGCAGATATCTACAAATCCAGCATAGAACCTGAGATCTCATAGCATTACATAAACATTTCCCCTGTCTGATGCTAAGAAATGCATGGTTCTCTATGTTAACTGCCACATAATTGTTTGCATACATGTATATATGTTAGGTTTTTTTATCTTATGCTTTCTTAATGAAGTAATGTTGTTGAAATTGCCCTTTTTTGGGTATATTATTAGTTCTTTTTCCTAGACCTCCAAATACCATGTTCCACAAAGAATAAAAAAAGAAATACAGAAAAGTTTTATCGGCCTTCATTGATTCGCTTTATAACCTGAAGGGTGACTTTTTGTTCAGTTAGAAATATGTCATGTGACTGTCCAGTGACACTTACTGGTCGTATGTGAGATTGCAGATTAGTTCTATTAAACATTGTAAATAGACAAAAAAGAAGAGCTAAATTCTGAGAATCCAAAGAATTGGAGTTTGAGAGGTAGATGAAATGGAGATGGTGACAAGGAAAGGACAGAAGAAAGATTTTAAATTTCAGTAAATGGTGAATATTTCAGATAAGACACTAACATAGCCATTGTATTCTGCAGTATTCAGCAACCTATGGTGCATTTCCTTCCTTTTAATTTTGTTTTGTGTTCTGAGACAGGGTCATGCTATGTAGTTCCGACTGGCCTTGAACTCACTTTGTAGCCCAGGCTGATCTCAGACTCACAGCAACCCTTGTGCTTTAGCCTCCCGAGTGCTGAGATTACAGGTGTGCGTCACTGTGCCACCCTTGTCAAAGTTTTGAACTTTAAACTTTTTTTTTTTTGCGTTACCAGGGATCAAACTCACGACCTTGGGCTTGCCAGGCAAGCCACTGAGCTATATCCCCAGCCCTAAACTTTTTTTTTGACTGCTTGTTTTCCTCACTCTTGCTTTCTCTTTCGTTCTCCCTTTCTTTCTCCCTCCTCTTCCCCCCCTCTCTTTCTTTTCATCCTTTTCTTTCTAATAGGGGTCAGTTGGGAAGATAGGGTAAATTCTTTTCACTTTTCAAACAGTTTTATTAAGGTAGGCTTCTAAAAATCATCTCTCCAGGTTTTTGTGTGTGATTTTTTTTTTCTTTCTTTTGGGGGGGGGTCTTTTTGAGACAGTGTCTCACTATACTGTTCAGGCTGGCCTTGAGCTCACTTTGTAGCCTAGGCTGATCTCGAACTCACAACGATCCTCCTGCCTCAGCCTCCCGAGTGCTGGGATTACAGGTGTGCGCCACCACGCCCGGCTCTTGTGTGTGAATTTGATAATGCTGTTCACTGTGACTCCCAGAACTGATACCTGGTACCTTTTACTTATTTATTTGAAAAATCTTTATTTTTCAGTTAAGGGTATTTTTCTCATACTTACTATATATTTCTTCATTTATTACTTAAGCTACTCAACCTCTGCACTCCTCTTGTATGTTGTATGCTTAAACCACCCAGACACAAGGACCTCTCAAAGAAACAAAAAAGGTTGATAAAAGTGAGGAATACACAAGTAAAGCATCTTTTAAGCTCTCCGAGAACAAAATATATAAATAGCATCCCTTTACACTGTCTTGTGAGAAAAGAGTAGTAGTCACTAAAATTTGTGGAATTTGTGTTTCCTTGTTTCTGTTTTGCTTTTCAAAAATGCTTTTTTTTTTTTTTTTCACTAGAGGTAGGGAAATGACAGAGATGTTTTACTTTGGTTTCTTCTTGTATTGTTGGTTTTTGTTTACCATAGGCCTTTTCCTTCTTTTTTTCCTCTCACTTCTGAATTATGTTAAGGTTCATTATAACCTCTGGCTTAGGTTCTGAAAGCCTCACCTCCCCACCAAGGGTGGGTATAGAACTTGAGGAAATAAGTACTTTCTTTTGGTTTCAAGATACTTATTTCATAGGGAAAAGGATAGAACACTACAACTTAAGACTTTGAAGAGGGCATGATTCAACCCCTTACCTCCTTTTTGGGTCAAAACTGTGTTGAGGTGAGATTATAGTTCTGAAGTTGTATTTAGTCCTCTACCAAGTTTCTTCCAATATCTGGTAACAAATAGCTCTAGAGCAGAGTCTCTAGAAGATGTACTGTGTTGACATTATGTTATATGAAATAGTGAAAATCTGGCAGAGAAGACAAATTTGGTAAAGTTAACTACCCTTGGCCTATTATCCAACTTCCTTATATCCCTTGAGAATGGTTTCATTCTGGAGCCACTTCAAGGCCTTGAAGTTATTTGTAGTCCATTTAGCATTGACTCAAATTACTTACTTTGGGAATACTAAAAAAGACTATGTGTAAGTCCTGGTGTGGAAAGTAAAGACCGTGATAATTTTTGGAAAACATGGTTTAGAACCTGCTACTAGAGAAGTCTCAAAAAGTATTGGTTTCCATAAGACAGAAGGAATGAAAGCAAGTGATTCTTGGAAAGCAAGCAAGCAAACAAAACTATAGGAATCTTGCATTATTTTTCTGCTCCCTGTTCAGACTTTACCCTTTGTAACTCTAAATCATAAATCATCCCATACTTTAATATTAGGGGACAGTGAAATTAAAATTCACCTAAAATAGACTAGTGGGTTATGCTCTGCACTATATAATCAAAACCACCAGGCTTTCGATGGATACATAAACATGTTTTGGTTGCTAGGTCTTTAATAGCTGTTATTTTTGGATGCTGTTCACGATCCACTTCCCAACAGTAAGTCTGATGTGACACAGCTGAGTTCTAAATATGCTGCGTGTAATTTAAAAAAAAAAAAGATGGCTGCTGTGAAGGTTGTGTTGTCTGCATTCTTAGCTGAAAAGACAGGTGACAGGGTTTTTTAGCTTTCTTATTTTTATTCCCCTACTGAGATTCTTTGTTTCTCTGGAGGCCTCATCACCCTCATGAAGAGGAACTTAAGAAAGCATTTTTCCTGCTAAAAACTCTCAATGGAATGTGGTAGCAGGAGTTGTTAATAGAGTGGCCTCCTGAGAATAGGTTAGTGTTGTTAAGGCAGCAGTGCCCCAGATACTGTATTGGCAGAGGACTGGTGGAATCATGATGTGTGGTTTTTGAAATGTTTCTAAGATAGCATCTTTTTAAAAACATTGTGCCTATAAAATGCTTTACTTCTTTTTTTGTACTGGGAATAGAACTCAGGACCTTGCGCTTGCCAAGCAGGCGCTTGTACCGCTGAGCTATATCCCCAACCCTCTGTGGCATTATTAAAATAATAGAAATATAGTTTGGTGCTGAATCTGATAAGTCTTTTAAGTTTTTTTAGTTTGTTTCTTTGTGGGAGATCTCACTGTCTTACCCAGGCTTGGACTCCTGGGCTCATATGATCCTTCTGCCTCAGCTTCCTGAGTGGTTGGGACTCTAGGCATGCATGAACACATCGGGCTTAGTCTTGCAAGTTTTTAATGCTTTTAGAGGCTACTTTTGTTTGAAGATGTATTACAAAGCTATTTTATTATATGTGGAACCAGGAATAGATACTCTTATCAGTAATCTTGAATTTGAGTTATTATTTCATGTGTATGCAGTTAGATAACTTACCTTTATTTTGGTTTTTTGTTGGGAGCAGCTGGAGCTAGAAACTGGTCATATATGTGAGGGCAGGACAGAGCCACAATGCCTCAAGCAGTTAAGCTACCTGAGTCTTGAGAAAAGCATCCTGCCTGGACAATTCAGTCATTAGTCGCTAGGCAACCTTGCCTCTTGTGATACCAACTTTGCAAGAGTATAAATAAATGCCCCTACTGTTGTGCAGGTCCTCTTACCCATTAGGTAAGAGGTCATCTCCACCTGACCCAGCTCATGTCTCTTGTCTATCCTTCCCTCATACCCGCTGCCAGTCCTCCCTGGGGTACACTGAGAGACCGACGAGTTCCCTACAGTTTTTTCCTACTTTATATTACCAGGTATCAACAAATTCCATACTCCTTTCCTCTCAGGCATGAAGCTGATTTGCAGTACAAATTATGCAAATTTAAATAGACTTTCTGGATACCATCAAGTCTTTGAGCAGAAGCTGGTCTTTTCAGTTTATTCCATGGAGTGTTTATTTCCTAAAGAACAGGAACACATTTGCATGGAGGAGATACCATTTATGGACGTTTAGCATCATCCCATTGTCAGCCATTGAGAAAAGTTTCCACTCTATATCAGCTCTGTCCTTTTAATGGAAAAGGCTTTGATTGTTTTGTCTGTCATAATCTTAAGGGGCTGAAGATACTACTCTCAGATCTTCTCCCAGAGGACATCTACTTACAGGTTGAAAGTCTCTTCATATCTTTCTGAGACATGAAGCCTACAACTAACTTATAGACCTACAAGGCCTGCTTTTATTTTCAAAACCCAAGAATAGAAGTGGAGCCCTGGTTATGGTGGCAGCTTCTTGTACCTCCTTATGTTGTCATAGTAGGAGTAATGTTTATGGTGCTGTAGTCCTGGCTTCACTTGGCATTTAACCAACCTCCAAAGCTGTTTATTGCTTTGTATCCTCTGCTTCCGTGAACATTATCCCTTAAATCTCTATTGCTGTGTAATATAT